GGAACTCAAAGGGTTCTTGGGGCAGTACCCAAATACATATATCCAGGCGATTTACCAGCCAGTGGTATAATTGTAAGAGGTGAAGTAGCATGGTATGCATTATTTTATTTCTTCCTTTAACTAAATTGTGTGAACTTGCATGGTTGAGGGTTTCAAATGAAATCTGGTGTGGCAGAATTGTACAATGTTTAAAAGTAATATAACTTTAGGGATAAGTATATGAAGTAGCATGGTTTAAGGTGACTGGCCTTTTCTAAAATCTGGTGTGGGATAAATAAGTAGCTGCTTATTTATTGCAACATGAAACTGTTTTGTTAAAAAACATGTCTTGCTTTTGCTATAGAGTTGTTTCATTTTGAAAATGAAAGTAGTCTTCTCTTTGTATATCTTTGAAGATGAGAAATAAACAAAGATAACAAAAATTAAGTTATGAATTTCAAATGCCCTATGGAACTGGGTTGATTTCTATTCCCTTTGTAACATATTCGAAACTGTGATTGGTAAAGTATATTGAGTTATGAAATTTGAATCTGACATTGAGTAACATCTAAGGCATAGTTTTTAACGCAATTACCGTGTATTTTTTTTTTTTTTTTTAGATAGAAAAATGTGTAGTTTCTTACAGATTCTGTGAAGGCAATAAAGTGCATCTCTATTTTCCCCATCTTTGTGGTCTTGAGTATATATGCATTATTCAATTTATTCATTCATTTGTCTTCAAGTTATGGATTTCTTAAATTATATCAGATGATGCAGACATATGATTTGTTTAATTTTTTGGTGATTGTAAATAATAAGTAATTAAGGTTGTTCAATTTTTATTTTTTACTTTTTGGGCTTGGTATCCAATCAGCTCCAGCTGGGAGGTTTGTAATATGTAGCTTCTGCTACTGGGTTGACATTAATGAAGTTGTGTTGCGTTTGGGTGTGATATTGATTGGTTTTTAATTGAGATTGTCACAAGATGTTCGTTGGTTGTAGGCATTGTTTTTGTTCCTTTTGGATGTCTATTTTGGTTGCTGTGTTGAACTATTTCCTAGCTAATTTGTTCATCATTATTGGTTGTTTGCTGAATATCAATAGAACTCCATCTTTTTGCTTGTTTTCTTGGCTGTTGGTTGTTATTGTTGCATTGGTTTGGTTGATTAATGGAAGGTTCCTATCAGTGTGATATTGATTAGTTGCTATTTCTTTTGGCTGTCTTTTTTATTTGTTGTATTGAACTGATTAGTTTTTAACTCGGCTGAAGGTTATTGTAAAATTCTGTTTCAAGTCTAGCACATCATGGAGATCCTCAACTTTTTGCATCACATGAAGCCGCATTAGTCCAGGAAGCAGCAGTTTTACCATCTTGGTCACCCAGGACAGCTTGAATTCAATGCATTTTTCTCTATGTATATATTATTAATCACATTTTGTTCTATGTATATTGAATCAAAATTCTGACAATATCAATGATGTTTTTCTGCCAACTTTTTAATCTAACCCTTTTTAAACTGCTAGTTTTAACTGTGCATTATTGAAGAGATTTGTATGGAATCCCAAATTTAGTTTGCTTTCTATTGAGTAAAATGCATTGTGATTCTGCAATCTAGATTGTTATTGGCTTAAAATTGACAAAATTAATGTAATATAATTTTAGCTGAGTTTGCAACACTTGCAAGGACAAAATGGTAATTGTACATGTCTCAGAATTTCAAATTCTCAATAGTTATTCATTACAAACATTAAGGACAAATTAGTCATCTAATTTTTACATATTGTTGGGGATATCAGAGTAATTTCGTAATAAAAAGAGAGGTATATAGGTAATTGACTATATTGACTTCACATATAATAATAATAAAAAATTATATTCACACAGTCAAGGGTATTTTCATCTTTACATTGAATATGACTATTTTTAACGGAAATTGTTAACAAAATTATTGCTTTGGGTGCTAAAATGGTATTTTAAAATTTGAGAGTGGAAAAATGTCATTACATCATTTTTTAGGTGAGAAAAAATCATTAACTCTTTCGTTAATACGCAAAATACAGTTCACTTTTTCAGTCAGCATTCAGCGAGTTACCAGGAGTTAGAATAAGATAGATTTTGTAAAGTGGAGACCAACGGATCAAATGGTGATGACTGAATCATTTGAAAATGATTCAAATGTTGAAAATTATATGTTTTTTTTTTTAGAATTATAATTTAAAAATTATTTAGTAATAGTTGATATGTTTCAATCTAATTATTTGGGAGAATTTAATTAAAAATAATTACTATATATAGGAAGATTCTACAACTCCTATTTTTTAATGCAGATTTAAACACAAATTTATGTTGTTAGATTAAACCAAAATAGATGGTCAAGATAAAGACCGAGTGAAAATAATATTTTCTAATATTCATGATATTAAGTTACATAAATATATTATCTCACCCCATTAATGGTAAAAAAGTTCAAGAAAAAAAAATATGTCTCATTGATTATAAATCATCTTTCTTTCTCATATTTGCTTTTCCACCGACAATTTATTGGTTTTACTCAAAAACTTTTTTATTTAATATAATATAAAACAAGATCGACAGCACACCCCTTTCGTTTACACTTATGATCAACCTCTAAATTAAAGTAAATTAATCGTAATTAATGGTTAGGATTGTATTTCATTTGAAGTTTCATTTAATGATAGTTGTCTTAAAACTTGTATTATGTTAGAAATTATAACTTTATTTCTTTTTATAATATTGATTTGTATAATTTAGAAGTATTTATATTATATATATGTATATACATATAATTCGAACCAAATGAAGCTCTGATCATTTATCAAAGAAAAAAGAACATATGATTCTTGTATGATTTATGATATTTTTTTTGGAAGAAAGTGTGTATATCTTTCACGTTTCAAGAATAACTAATACATTGAAGAATATGTAAATATACATTTAAAGAATCGATCAATTCTATTTCTATTTGTTCCATTAGAATAATCTAACGATCTCAAAGAATTAATCTTTTTATTAGCTATTGAACATCTTTTAATTGATAAAAAAAAAAAAATATATCTGAATTCTCATCACCAATACAATTGAAATGTTCTCCCGATAAACCAAAGATTCTTCATACCATTGAATACTGTAGAAACTAATACCTACCTACTTTATAAACAACAATAACATGATTAAATTAATATTACAACATATTTCAAGTTGTTGAAACCCTAGTTAGTAAATACGGGTACGGCAAAAAAACGGTACGGGAATTATACGGGTATAATACGGTAAACGGTGAAAAATACGTTTATAAAAATTCGGCTATAAAATTCGGATACGGGAAAAATACGGTACGGGTATATACGGGTTTAATACGATGCATTGTCAATAATACGTTTTGAAAAATACGGCAATATCAATCTTAGTTTTAACACTTTTATGGACTACCTGATTAAAATCAACAGAATATTTCAAATGCAAAGTATTCAATTGACCAATAACACAAATACATANTTGTAAAAAGATAAGAGAAGAAAAGGTTGTTGCGATGGGGAACCCATGAGTGACAGAGAAGAATAGTCCCACATACATGCCGCCTTCAATGAGCGGCCTCAGAATCAGAAAGAAGTAAGTGTACAGTTTATTAGAAGTATATGTGGATGAGAATTGTACCAACATAATTTACCTACATGCACCCGCCTTTATTGAGCGGCCTCAGAATCAGAAAGAAGAGTTGTACAGTCCGATAGAAATGCATGTAGATGAGGACTGCACCCACTCACATGGATAGGCTTCCGAATCTATGCCTCAACCGAGTCCGATCGGCATAGAAATAACGAAAGAATAGAAAGAAAGAAAGAATAGTAAGAACTAAAGAGTAGAAAGAAAGAAAGAATAGAAAGAAAGAAAAAAAGAATAGAACGAAAGAAAGAATAGAACGAAAGAAAGAATAGTAAGAAAGAAAGAATAGTAAGAAAGAAAGAATAGAACGAAAGAAAGAATAGAATGAAAGAAAGAATAGTAAGAAAGAAAGAATAGAACAAAAGAAAGAATAGAACATAGAAAGAAAGAACAGAACAGAAAGAAAGAAAGAATAGAACACAAAAAGAAAGAACAGAACAGAAAGAAAGAAAGAATAGAACACAAAAAGAAAGAACAGAACATAAAGAAAGAAAGAAAGAATAGAACATAGAAAGAAAGAACAGAACAGAAAGAAAGAAAGAATAGAACACAGAAAGAAAGAACAGAACAGAAAGAAAGAAAGAATAGAACACAGAAAGAAAGAAAGAATAGAACACTGAAAGAAAGAACAAAATAGAAAGAAAGAAGAGAAACAGAAAACAGAAAACAGAAAAGAAATTGCATTCTTTATGCATTTATGCACATGCATCATGGCATTCATATTATTCAGAATTAGTTTCTCCAATTGTGCTTACATGTTAGTAAGTAAGAAACAAGAATAGAGAAAAACAGAGAGATAGAAGAGAAAAAGAATAAAGAAAGAACAGAGAAGAAGAGAGAAGTGTGATGTAAGGAAAGAATTCAAAATATGAGCAACGAAGATAGAATGGTAGCATAGCGGGTTTACTTACTGAGCAATTAGTGCTTTCAATGTTTTTGCAGGTAGTAGATGAGATGCGGTCGCTTGGAATGTCAAGATGCCGAAGGGTCGGGCAACAATGTCGAGCTTCTTGAGAAATTTATTTACACTATGTATAGTTTTGTATATATAAAGAAAAATTGGGCCCATTATTTTATACTCATCTACATGTATATTTTTGTAATATTTATATATAATGAGTTTTACTGTTTATTTTACGAGTATACTAGGTAGAGAGAGAGTCATTACAATTTAAAACAAAAACTCGGTTCTGAATTTGATATGAAGGACTTAGGAGTTCCTAAGAAAATACTAGGAATGGCAATAAATAGAAATAGAGTTGGTTGTGAACTTAAAATTTAGCAGCAGTCATACTTGTAGAAATTGGTTGCTAAATATGGGATGTCTGGCTCAAAAATGGTATCTATGCCTTTAGCCAATCACTTTATGTTAAGTAAATCTCAAAGCCCCAAGTCTGATTCTGAGTTGGTTAAAATGGAAAATGTACCTTATTCTAATGCAATAAGTTCAGTTATGTATGCTATGATTAGTACTAAACCAGACATGTCATTTGCTATTTCTCTGCTTAGTAGGTTTATTTCTAATCCTGGAACTGAACATTGGTATGCATTAAAATGGTTGTTGAGGTATATCAATAGTACATCACATGTTGGTTTGGAATATTGTAAGAGAGGTAATGCACTTGATCTTGTGGGGTATGTAGATTCTGATTTTGCAGGAGACAGGGATACTAGGAAGTCAACTACCTCTTATTTCTTCACTTTTGGTGGAAATTGTGTGAGTTGGAAGTCTCAGCTACAACCAATTGTAGCACTATCCACAACTGAGGCAGAATATATAGCAGTGGCAGATGTGTTTAAGGAAGCTTTGTGGCTTCGAGGAATTATGTCAGAAGTAGAACTAATGGATGGTGTAGTGACAATATATTATGATAGCCAAAGTGCAATACACTTGAGTAAAAATCTTGTCTACCATGAGAGGACCAAGCATGTGGATGTTCGATTCCATTTTTTTAGAGACTTGGTAGCACGGGGAGTGATTAATCTGAAAAAGGTGGCGACTGAAGACAATCCGACAGATTTAGGTACCAAAGTTGTTACTACTGCCAAGTTCAAGCATTACTTGGACTTGTTGTTTATAAAATAGGTATCAGTAACTGAGCTATGAAGGAATATGTAGTGGGTTAGCTACACTAATGAGATTCTGGAACTGATGGTAGTGTTTAAGGGCTTCAAGGTGGAGATTGTTGAAGTGAAGTCGCTAAAACGCTGTCGCATGTGCTTAAAATGAATGAGTTGTGCACCGTCGTTTTAACATGCTTGGGAGAATGCTGATCGTTGATGGCAACATTGATCCAATGGCTGAGATTTACACTTCAAGTCAACATTACAAGCAGCCCCAAAAAGTGCAGTAACAAATTAGTCTTCTTCTCTTTTTCGTGAAAAACAAAGTGCTCTCAAATTTTTCCAGTTTTCAGTCCAAAAATCAGTGTAGCTTCAGTGAGTGAGTGATTAGTTCTTAGTCATTCTGTGAGGGTTGTTTGTTCTCTCAAAGATTAGAGATACTAGGAAGAGTTTCTCTAGATTAGGAGTTACAAAGTGAGTTTTGGTTATGATTGACTGAAAGATTGATCGATCTTTGTTCTTGTAATTGTAAGTTCTTGATTAATTAGTGCAGTGAGCCCCAAATATTCTGGAGCTTAATGTGGATGTAGTCTATCCAATCTTGGATAGGTGAACCATGGTAAAAACCTTGTGTTTGTTCTTGATTGTGTTATTGTGTGGATTGTTTTGGCTGTGTGATTCATTGATATTGGAGATTGATTATTAGGCTTGAATCTTAACAATATCAAATTCTGTGTCACTCTTATGCATTTAGATCAGCTTAATGTGATTTGAACTAAATTATTCAACCAAAAAAACCAACTCAGATTAATATAAATTCCCCCATGTTAGCGTAACAAGCTTTTCAATTCAAGTAAAGAAGGGTGAATAAAAATAATTAACAGAGAGGTCTGCCTTCATCGTGTCATCTGTAATTGCTAATAATCTTTCAAATTGAACAAAATTGAAGGTAATTTTTTGTTGAGAACATACCTCTTTTCAATCTTGATCTTTAGCTAAAACTGGATCATTGCTTTGTTGTGATCGCTTTCAAAGCCGGACAAGTTGAATGGTAATTCTCCGGACAGAGGCTAATGAAATTGGCTTGTTTTTGCTTTCCACATCAATCATATTCACCGCGAAGCCAAGAAAGCCAGGTGGAGACTTCCCATTAGGCCTTAGAATATCAAGCCTCCTTTGTGGATCATCAGCTACAAACTCACCGACAAAAGGTTTGGAGAAAGAAAAAAAATTAGAATGTCTGCAGATACAAGTCTATATAATTAAGGAAAGCAGAAGTCGAATTGATGTCTCAAATTTTCAAGACATATGATCAGAAACTGGTCATGTATAGTCCTCCCAATTGAAGCACCAAGCCCATGAAGACTAGAACTTTTAATAATGCAGCCCTCTTTTTCTAGAGCCTTAAAACCTTCGTAAGTCTTGCAAACAATTGCAAACATAGTGTCCATTCCTAAGTACTCAGAGAAAAGCCTACACCCCAAATAAGATGAAAAAAAATGTGAAGCATGGGGTATTAGTGAAAACATTTAGCTTTGTCACACTTGCTGAAAATACAAAAGCTAGAAATTAAACATGAATTCTAACCATTAACCGTCTCTGCAACAATGTACAACGTAACCTCACTCACCATTCAGGAGCAAACAACACTACAACAGCGTGCAAGCTTTAAGGATGAATCTACAGGCAACAAATTCAATGGATTATATATTTGTCTGCAGAAAATCATGAAATACAACAAATGCTTGGCCATTGGAAAACTTAAAAAGGTCCTTATTGATGGGAAACAACAAAATCAGTTAATTATAAACAAGAAAAAGCAACCAGAAACAAGCCAATACAAAAAGCACAACATCACCAGAGAAAGATGAAGAAAAAGATAGAATACATGATCAATCAACCTGCTAAGATTTTCATCCACAACTTTGCCAAGTGAAGCAACAATACCAAGAACATCCTTGGTTGGTTGAAGATGTGATGCCTGAGAGCCATGACGTGTTTTCAGCTTACAAAAAACACCTGCAGCAGATTTTTCATGCTGGAGAATCTGCCCTGTTGTTTCCTCCTCACTTTGAAGGTTGAAATGGTCCTCATTCTCAGTCTTAGGTCCACTTGAAGAATAATACTTGCCAAGAATACTGATAGAAAGCTTATAAGAAAAAAAAACACAAATACGAAAACAAGATCAAAGTGTGTCATACAAAACTAAAAGAAGTCAAAACCTCAAAATACTTCAAAATTTGAAGTAAATGAAAGATTTCTTCAAGTAAACAGATTTCACCTGAAGTCCAGAATCCTTTTCCTTCCCTTTTTGATGCATAAGCTGTGTGACTAGGTTTACCATCTAGATTTTCAATAAAAAATTACATGATGTGTAGTTACATTTAAGGGTGCCATTTCAAGAATCTTTTTTTTATCACTAACAACCATTCCTAGGAGACAAGGCTTGATCTAGTGGCTAAAGTAAAAGTTACAATAGAGAGCTACACGGTATACAATACAATGGTTATAGTACGTCAACCAAAACCCTATCCAAATTGTCGAATCTATCTTATGAATCTGGGCACCACCCATTTGCTCTAGCTGCTAGATTGCAGGGTTTATCACGAACTATTTGCCTTGACATTTTCTCTGCAAATTTCAGATGGAGTTGATGTACATGATTCATGTACTGGATTAAAAGAAAATAACCTTGTGATTCAACTATAGAGTCATCTAATTGTTGCTTTAGGACTTCAAAAGTTTTATGTGGTCCTCATGCAGCTGATTTTCAGGCCTAGGATTTGTAGATCATCTTGAAGTCTCTGCAAGATGTAAAATAGAGCAAAGCATATGTGATACAACACGCGAAGTGCGGGTGTACAAGAAGCGTGGGAAGGAGCACCAGGGGATCAATATACTAAAGAAGCACTAAAATGTGAATTGAAGGTAGTGGGACAGGTGGCAAAGATTACTGGAGGAAGGTAAATCTATTAGTAGAAGAAATGAATAAAAGGAGCAGCAGAAGGGTAAATAGGCATCGAGAAAGAAGTGAGGAAAAGGGGAGGTAGCTGGCCCTCGAAGTCCAACATATCAGTTCTTTATGTTTAGTGGTTTCTCTTATTTTCAGTGTAGTTATTAAATCCAGTAGTTCTTTATTTGAGAGAGATCTAGAGTGGTGTAAACGAATTATCAATGAAATACCTCTCTTCTGTTATTTTGGAACTCTAGAGGTTGCTATAAACTGCTGTTGTTTCGGGTACGAGCTTGTATGTGTGAGTGATTGAGAAATCTAGGTGGGTTCGCAACAAATTGGTATCAGAGCATGATCATGCACCTATGTGGCAGCGCACGCGTGGCAGGCTGCCCGTGGCAGGCTGACCTGGGCCTGGGTGCTACCCCGAGAAAGGGCATGGAGGCCCGAGGGAAAGGGGATCCGCGTAGTCACCCAAGGGGTAAAGAGGTCGAGGGGGTATAAGAGGGCCGACGTAGACGCGATTGCGGAAGCGTGATGGAATGTTAGGATCTCACATTGAAAGGGAAAAGGGTGGGCATGAGGTTAAAAGGCTTGGGCACCCTCCCTTGCAAGCCGGTTTCCAAGGAGAGTTCTACCTAAGCCCATGAAAAGACCCATGGCCCAGCCCAAATTGGGAGTTATTGGAGTGGGTTCCTATCAATTGGTATCAGAGCAGGTGTGTGTGTGGGTTTATGGTGCAACAGAATGGAATCTAGGCTTGAAAAGTGTGGAACGGGAGGTAACGAAATTGGGCGTGGATATGGGGACAATTGTGAATGCTTGTAGAGATACAGAGTTGGATGAGGAGAAAGGATGAAGAAGAAGCTGGGCGTGGGAACAAAATTCATCTAGAAACGTGAGAAATCAGGAAGGGGAGAATCAAAACAGAGTAAGTGGATCAGGGAGTTTGGGACAAAGTCAAAGTGAGTTGGGAGGAAGAAACTGGAATACCCATTTTCATGGGTGAAGATCCTACGGGTGGATCTTTAGAATGAAAGGTATTTTTCTCTGAATGGATTCCTGTGATGGTAAACTAACAGCTGCGGCAGTGTGCATGGAAGGGGAAGCCATAACTGGTATCAATGGATGGAAGTCAGAGCACCTGTAACCTCTGGCCATCGTTTAAACTCGCTTTAATTCAGAGATTCAGCGGATCTCAAGAGAGTAACCCTTATGAAACTCTAATGGCCCTGAAGCAAAACAGTACAGTCGCTGATTATAGAAGAAGATTCGAAGCTGTAGTGCTTTGTGGTGGAAGAGAAGGAAGAGATCCGAACGCTGCGTTTCTGAATGTTAAAGGCAGAAATTCAGGCTGAGCTAAGGTTGATCCAGCCCATTTCTCTTCTCAAACAATAGAAAAAGCCCACAGAGTAGAGGAACGTAACTGGGCTTTAGAAGAACTTAAGACAGGTCCAGCAAGAGCCATAGGTGGAATGGGCCAGGATTAAATGTCGGGTCAAACCATTTGGGATCTAGGAGTTTTTAACCCGATATCCAACACCCGACCCGGAGATTCAATTATAAGCCCCAAATTTGACTGAATCCCTAAAATCGAACTCCTTCTCAAATTCTTTCTCGAATTTACTCCAATTTCTCAAATCCTGGGCGAAGAAAAGCAGAGGGTGACGTCGTGGGTTCATCCATGAATTCCTCTCCTCGTGAATACACCTCTACAAACTTCAGATCCTTCGACATAAACCATCCACCGCGACGGGAATTTCCCTTTCGAAAAATGACGGAGGCCGAAATACAGAGGAAAAAAGAAAAAGGGTTGTGTTTCAAGTGTGATGGGAAGTATTTCTTTGGCCATAAGTGTGGAGAAGCAATTTCAAGTAATCTTGTTGATGAGGAAGAAGAAGAATTGGATCCAGGGGAATGGAAACCAGTGAAGAACGACGACAGAACAAAACCAAGGTAATGTTGAAATTCCCTTAGCTCGGTTGTGGGAATCAATGGCCAAAAACGATGAAGTTGAAGGGCACTATATGGGTTAGGAGGTTATTATCTTGATTGACAGTGGGGCTTCC